TCAGATTGTATCAATAAACTCAGCTTTCAGTTGTGTAACATCTCCGGAAGACGGGGAAGGACTCGGCCTTCAGGTGTGTAACATCTCCGGAAGACGGGGAAGGACTCGGCCTTCCTTATCTCATAGAGTAAACTGCTCCACACCCGGATCGCCTCAAATCGACATGCTTTCCTACCATACCTAGTTGTCTAGACCTGTGGAATGGTAGCAGTGAGATTACGCATGAAATTATAATTTTAAATTTTAAATTCACTACGTTAGATAAATACACTGTATTGCTCACTTATACCATATAAAATAACATGAAGGAGAGAATGATTATTTCTTTTTAAAAGAATATACAGAAGAGAGGTAAAGTCATTATCTATAAAACTGGCAGCCGTTACCTGTATCTTTTCTAATTTCCTAGTGTTTTTATACTACAGAAGTGACAAGCTTGTGGTCAGTAGTTAAAATTTGGAAAAAATGAAATATCTAAAGATAGTTATTCTGCACATCTTGGTTTGGTAACAGCTAATTCGTTTTAGGATACAAAATATGCCTGAGAGTTTTTCTACATATGTTTGATATATATGTCAATCAAAATTCAGACCAGGGTCGATGTTAACATCCAGACGTTTACAGAACTTTCAGATTTAATTGCGAGACTGCCAATGTTGAAAGAAGGAAGAATTTTGTTTGTTTTCTTGCCTTATTGTATAGCTTGAAATTGATCTAGATTCGCCTGCATCCCATCACAATTGAATTCATTTACTAAGTTCTGACTATCTGTTTCCAATGTATAGGGCAAGCTGACATTGTCAGTGCTAGTATATAAGCGAGTGTTGGTAACTGCATAATTGTACAGGTTACATTTTTCAATATAATAAAAGATACCATTGACAAATATTGAAAACAAATGGCCAACGATTGTTCCTTCTGGTACCCACTTTGTCAACAACTACCGGTCACTAGAATTGGGCCCGAAATCAGTCCGTTTGAGTTTAGTTCAGTTTAAATCAATTTTATTGCAAACAAAATACATCAGGATTGGACAAAAGTTATAACTTACTTACGCCCTTTCCATAACAAATTAAAACATACAAATTAAAATAGTCACGCAATAGCCTTAGAACTTTTCATATTTTTTAGTTAAAGATAGGCTTAGAAAATGAGAAAACGGGGAAAAAAATTGGGGTAATGGGGGCATCGACGAGTAATTCTATGGATTTCGTGACTGTCATTTCCTAATCCAGTCGGCAAAGAACTGACTCTTTACTGTACACACATCGCGTTCTACTTATCTAAAATGTTCAGTCACGTCCCGTGCTTTAGTTGTCGTTCTCCTGGATCACTCCTTGTCCTTCTACGATGCCGTACTCCACCTGCTTTGCCGACAAGATTAGGAAACCACAGCCGTGATCTTAGTATATGGTTTTGGTAAAATATGAATATTTTATGAAATATGTATTAAATAAACATTATGATTATATAAATAAAACAATACCCGTCGGTGTTGGGAGGAAAGGATGAAACTGGATGAATGGAAGGGGTGTGGGGAAGGGGTAGTATAGAATACTATGTGTCCTGGTTATCGATGATTAAATGTTAAAACGTTTAGAACAAGAAATAAATAATTGTACAGACCTACAGATGATGATATTTTGATCAGTATCGAGATTTTCGTCCCCAAATAGAAGGTGTTCCGCAGTTATTTCGTTGTACCAGTAATGAGACTGAAGCATTATATTATGTAATTGATCAAAGTTGTTGCAGGAAAGCAAGTAATGACTAGAGTCTTCAGAATGATGTCCGCAACTGCAAGAAGAATTGGACCGAAGACGTGCTTTGTAAAAATCATAATTTAGAGAGCTGCTGCGGTTGCGGAGTTGGCAATGTATTATATTTATTTTTCTAGGCCCGTTCTCAAGAAATGATTTAATATATGTAGGGATAGTAAGATGAGGTAGAAGAGTTTTGAATTGTTTGATAGAATCAGATGACTTAGTTTCGAAAGGTAGAGTATTCCAGGAGTCTGAAGTGCTTAGTATCAAGGATGAATTTGTAAGTTGTAGCATATAGAGTGGATTTTGAAAGTCATTTCTGTTTCTAAGATTGTATTTTGTAGAATTTGACACAGTAGTAGTAGAGATTTTAGATATGAAGGAGCATTATTGTGATAAATATTATAAAACGTAGATAACTTCCTATTTTTACATCTGTCCGCCAACGTTTGACAGCCTAGCTCTCTGTAAATAAATTCTGTTTTAGTAACTACGGGTAATCCTGTAATTATGCGACCTGCTTCATACTGAATATTTTCTAATTTATTTGAAAGAGTGGTATTGCAATTATCCGAAACTTCGCAGGCGTATTCAAAAAGTGGTCTGATGAAAAAAAAATATATTTTTTCTAAGTTTTTTCTGTTCAAGATGTACTTAAATTTCCTAAGTGTTGCGATGTAATTAGCAGTTTTTGTCAAAATGTCATCAATGTGAGAGTTCCAAGTACCATTGCTGTTTATAACTACTCCTAAATGTTTGTGTTTGTTAACGATATGAATGAGTGTGTTGCCAAAGAGACCAAAAATTCAGCTGTTCCATGTCGTGGTGTATTACCTGATTTAGATCGTGTAAATGTTTAGAAGAGTATGCTAATGCAGTATCGTCAACGAAAAGTCTAGTAAGAGATAAAAGAGTGCTTGAAATATCGTTAATTTATACAAGAAAGAGAAGAGGGCCAAGAACAGAACCTTGGGGAACCCCGGCTTTAATACATACTTCTCGAGAGACAATATTTTTAAGGACAGCTGATTGACGTCTGTTGCTTAAATAGTTTTTTTTTTATCAATTCTAAGGCTTTACTCCTTATGCAGTATATTCCTAATTTAATTAACAAACCTTTATGCCAGACTCGGTCAAACGCTTTAGTTAAGTCACAGAGCTGTAGATTCGTGATTCTCTAGTGCTTAAAGTATGTTATGGTATAGTTCAATGAGTCGTAGAGTGATTTGGCAAGAAGCCGGATTGTAATTTGTATAGAAGATAATTAGTGAAAAGATAGTTATAAAGATATTAATGGATTATTCGTTTAAAATGTTTGCCGATGCAGCTAAGTAAAGAAATAGGTCTGTAGTCATTTGCCAATTCAGGTTCCCCATTTTTGAATATAGGTGTCACGTAAGCAAGTTTCCACGAATCAGGAAAAATAGAAGTACGAAACGATTTGTTGAATAGAAAGGTGAGTGGTGTAGCTATTTCACTAGATATCATTTTTAACATTTTATGACTTACGCCATCGGGACCAGCTATAATAGTGTCTAAAACCTCTTGTTCTGTTATTTCAATATCAGTAAAAGAAGAGTCAGTTGTAAAGTTAAAGTAGGGTGTGACGTCATCGTGTTCATCAAGGTCAGAGATGGATTTAAAGAAGTTATTTAAGATATTGGATTTTATATAGTCATCAGTAGTTAAGTGGTTGTTAGAAGGATTTAGTAAGGGATGTATGTCGGTAGAAGTGTTACCTTTTAAGAGCATGCGCATTAGTTTCCAGTATACTTTCGGATTAGCTGAACTGTTACGGATGAGACCATCAACATTATCATAAAAAATGTGTTTTTGCATATCTAAGCATATTATTTACTTTGTTTCTTGCACGTTTGTATTTAGCTTCTGAATTTGCGGTTTTAACTCTGATAAAATACTTCCTTAATCTATTTCTCCGCTTAATTACTTTTCTTATATCTCTGTTCATTCATGGTTTGTCATTTTTATTTACAGTTATAAGTTTTTAGGAATATGTTTCTCTAAAATGGAAGCAAGTTTTTCAGTGAATAAAACACATTTCTCGTTCACATCATCAGTGGCGGAAAACAAACTTACTCAGTGTACTTGTCTAACAGTTTTAAGGGTTAAAATATCTGCTCTACTCTATAACCATATTTTCCTTTTAAAAGATTTGTCCGTTTGAGTCTGAAGCCGAAATAACTCAACACGATGCTTTACAGTGTGGTTCACAGGTCTTTTATCTCTTAAATAGTCTGTGTCTTTATACTCTGCCTTGGTAAGTCGCTGTTAAAAATGGAGGCTTGTTGATTTTTGAGACCTTCACCTTAATCGGGAGATGTTCATCCACCGCATTTCAAAATAGGTACTCATGTGTCCAGTCATTTTGAGACATCATCAGTATCTTCAAATACACCAGCGGCATGGAATAGTACAGTAATAAGGTCGTTCTAAAATCCTTATCATTGAAATTCATGACTTGTTATCAGGGCTTTCTTTTCCATGATAGATGAACGACGGTTCAAACATATGGTTGGTGAACTTTATTGAAGTTCTTGCGAAATACGTCCAAAATGTAAAAAAGAAATTAACGGGTAACAAACTCATAAACATGGTCTACAGGTTTCCTCGGGGTCGTTGTTGAGATCTTCCAACAGACTATTGACATACATAGTTGGAACTATCTATGCCCTCTGATGACTGACTTGGGTTTTTTCATGCGAGGCTGAATTATGGAAGAGCTTTTCAATGCAGGTCACAAAAACATTGTAAAGTCCTTCAATTTCACTTTAAAATGTATATCGATGACGTGATGTCTTTAAATAACAAGAGATGTATCAGCCACGCCCATTGTATACACCGATATGTCTACAGGTTATAAAGACATTGTAAAATCCTTCGATTTCACTTTCATATGTATATCGATGACGTCATGTCTTTAAATAACGAAAGCTGTATCAACCACGTTCATCGTATGCACCGATATTCTAAATCCGTAGTTAAACGTAAATTCTACTGGACTAATTAAATTTCCCACTTTTATTTTGGTTTTGATTTTAGCATTAAATATGTAAGACGAGTAAGTTCACTCATAATTTTGAAACGTCCTTCTGTTTTCGTATATTGTATATTGGCGGGAATGGTATGCACTTCCTTTTCTAAACGACCTTTGACCAACGGATTCACTTCCGGAAGGAAAAAAGCGTTGTTTACATCGAGGAATGTCAGTCGTAAAAGTTCCTTGTTATCAGCAGAAGTTGGCAACGAAACCAAACGACGTTTTGTCTTTTTGTATTGTAAGCTAGCAATTTAGCAAAATAAGTTATCTGTTATAGATATTAAACGGTATAAGCCTGCAGTAATGCTACAGATAATGATGGGCCGAAACTTCAGATGAACCACAGCTCTTTTAACTGACTTTCGGCACGTCACGAATAAGAAATCGTATGCAATTTAGTTACAGCATCGTCTCGGTCCATATATATGCATATGTTTTCCCTTGGCCTCGACCAGCTGCGCATGCTGAGCAAAACATAGATGCTATGTAGGCTGAATGATAGAGTCCTTATTTACCAGTGTTTCATAGACTATTCTAATTGTATACTACCCCACTTTTGCCTCAAAATCATAGCTTTTGTCATGTGTATTGGTCACAGAATTAAAATACACCCGCACTTGGATGATTTCACGAATTAAATCACGTGAGAGGTTGAGAGACCGAATTTGTAAACTGTCAGAATGGTTTTCAGACTTTGTCGAGAATGACAAAATCATCTCCATGGGAAAAAGGTGTTTTACAAATATTTTTTTGATAAAAAGATGTCCGTTTGTATTAGTATTATAAATCTATAAAATATCAGCTTAAGGAAGATCGCAAGTTTCTGGTTTCCTGAGGCTATGCAGGTCTATTTCTCTTTGTCTCAGGAAATAGACCTTAAGGATATTAAAGATTGTATCCCCAGTAAATTAAGTATATTCCTTTTGCCAGTTAAGAAATACTCCTAGTGACCTAAATCAAGATTAATTTGTTGATCATATATATTTACCGTCTCATCCTGCACTTGTGGTCATCCATATGAAAATTAAATGCAGAACACTGATTTCTGTTGTCCCAGTTATTGTAACTCCAGCTGATCCAGAATATCTATAATCGAATTGGTTTGACTAATGTTACTCTCGACTTCTGGAAGTTCTATCTATCAGCTGAAACACATGACTTTATATAGTCTAATGTAGATAAGTTTACTGCTGCTTGTAATAGATAATGATTGTTAATTATTCAAGTATAAGTGTATGCAGAGACCTATTTAACACAGAGATCAGCAACTCTTTAAGATCTTGTAGAATCATACATGGCTGTATTGTCTGCTTGAAGGAAATGTATCGAGTGATTTTAAGACAAACGATGAGCAACAGAAAGAGGTAATATTACCCTTAAACCGAGAATGGCACAGTTCTTGTACATACCTCCTACAGGCATGTAAGAAACCTTTGTTATGAAATTACCATTGTTTCACAGCTTGGTTATCAAACCTTGTTGGCCGCATGGTGCACTGATATTGGTATTTTGAGTCAAATTATTATCTTGCTATTGAAATTTGAAAATCATCTTAAACGGAAGGACACACAAAAGACAGAACTTGTATTAATCCGAAGCCTAGAATGGCGACACAGTTCACAACCACACCCACCATGTGGAATACAACTTTGTTGTGAAAATACTGACTTTTCTCTTAATTACTAAATATCATCGATGATTTATCAGAATGTTGTCAGGAAGGATGACAAAAATACTTTAATAGAACAAATTGAAACATTATATATAAAGAATGAGGAGTTCCATGTATTCGGTGACAAGAAGGTTCACCAATACGCTGACAACGCATAAAAACAACTTCGGACATGTAGAAATGTTATGTATATTCAGAGAATCTGTGTAATTGATGCATCATAACACATCAGCATCACATAGATGTTTCAGAATAAACTTCATATACATCAGTAAACATTTATTTACTAAGACACTTTGCATATCTACATTGTAATTCTTTCTAAAATGTCACATACACAATGACTTCAAAGCTTACATCTAATATGACAAATACAATATGGCGCAGTTTGCCGCGTTTGGAAATCCTATAGATACACCATGCTACATATGGGTACACACACTGTTGTATGAACTGTTACTGTTAGACATCGGGACCTGTGTGATCAACCGTCGGCTCAATGATGAGTTTTTTATCTCTGTGTTAAATACGTCTCTGATGTATGTGATAGTCACAACTTACCACCGAAGGAAAAGGTTTAAATAGACAATGCCTGTTATCTCATCCATTTATATATGTTTATACAATAAAATTGTTGAAATGAAATGAAATAAAACTAGTAAACTAGCCTTGAGAAGCCAGAAATTTGCCATATCTCTCAAGGTCATATTTCAACTTTTACAGAAAATGCAGTTCTTATCCTTTAATTTAACTTGCAATAGGGTATGTACATATTTGGATACAGTTACTTTCATTTAGGTCAAAATTAATTGCAATATTTGGATTTTTTTGTATTCCTGTCCATCAGGTAGGTTCTGATGTATTTATTTAAAGTTTTATTTCGAGTTCATTGTTTAGAGTTCAATTATCTCTATAATTATTACTTTTTCAGAAGATGTGGCCATCTCTGTCTGCAAACCATGATGAGGAGGCTGATTGATAAAATTTTCCGTAGGAAGACAGCTGTAAATGATGCTTTTTGATTTATTGTTGGCGCTGATGAGCTAAAATGACTCATAATGCAGATCAAAGGTCCTATGCTGTCAGCATTTCCTTACCTGATGAACAGGTGTTTAGGAACCTGAAGAATGCCAAGCATTTTGCCATTGACATTGGTATGTGTTGAATTGGAATTATAAATGATGTATAAAGTCAGTGATAATTAGGACGCACTCAAATTTTGAGAACCACTTTAAATCTGAACTCACCAAAGGTTTTGAAATGGTGCTCTGGAATCATCAGAAAAAAATGGGTAAAAAATTACTGTATGCTTTAACATACTTACAATATCAACACAATGTACTTGTTTGAATACTCTAGACTTTGTAAAACCTTTAACTAAGTCAGTTGATTTGTATATAGGGAATATTTAATGTTTGTTTGTGGAATGTCACATGTGTTTCACAAGTTCATATCCCAGACTAACACAGTAATCCTACAGTTCCTATTGTATTGGTGTAACAATATTTCTGTATTCTGTCCTTTAGATCATCTGCATAAAAATATCAGATTTTACCTGTGGAAAGCCAGAAATTTGGTGATTTTATGTGGGGAAAAATGCTAATACAACTGATGTGTATCGAGGAATCAAAGTCACAGCACTGAAGCCACAAATTCTTATCTTCTGGATCACATGTGTCTGAATACAAGTATCAATAGATAATAAATGTCACAATATAATTTATATCATTAGAAAGCTCAATTTTGATTGGTCAGTATATGATGTAGGATTTTTTATTAATTTAATGATGTTTTTTCCAATCAATATTATATTTCACTTAAGGAGATGTAGATACATGTAGAATGTGTTTCTCTGGGTATCATATTTATGTACTTCTCACCCTTGTCAGTGGTTAGTGGAGCTGCTATACAATAAGAAATTCACAGATTTGTATGATAATCTGACGCTTCATGTATAAGACATATTGAGTGTGAAGAAATATTGAGATATTGTTTGTAACTTTTGTAAGATTTTTGCTCGTTAGTCAAGAGCGCCATTTCCAAAATTTTGATGAGTCCAGTTATATACAGAAAAAATTGGTTCTCAAAATCTGAGTGAACCCCAGAGGCAAAGCATGAGTCCAGAACTCACATATGTGGGTCCAAAATTAATTTTATTATGTAAAATCTCTATTGCTTCCGGTAGCTATATAATGTTGATACATACCATCTTTGATGATGTTCAGTATTAGGTAAGTGACTATGTTGAGATGCTGTTCAGTATTAGGTAAGTGACTATGTTGAGATGCTGTTCAGTATTGGGTAAGTGACTATGTGGATGTACTGTTCAGTATTAGGTAAGTGTCTGTGTTGAGGTTCGGTATTAGGTAAGTGACTATGTTGAGGTGCTGTTCAGTATTGGGTAAGTGATTATGTTGAGGTACTGTTCAGTATTGGGTAAGTGACTATGTTGAGGTGCTGTTCAGTATTAGGTAAGTGACTATGTTGAGGTACTGTTCAGTATTGGGTAAGTGACTATGTTGAGGTACTGTTCAGTATTGGGTAAGTGACTATGTTGAGGTGCTGTTCAGTATTAGGTAAGTGACTATGTTGAGGTACTGTTCAGTATTGGGTAAGTGACTATGTTGAGGTACTGTTCAGTATTGAGTAAGTGTCTATGTTGAGGTACTGTTCAGTATTGAGTAAGTCACTTAGTTAAGTCTGTTTTTGATTTGGTTGATAGGTGGTTCCCTGGCCAAGCTAGCCTACAGTTCTACTCTTCAGCGTAGGACGTCCCTGGTATCAGAGGAGTCATCCGAGGTGAGATCCAAATTATTGATTTGTACTTTTCTAGAGGTCCAAGATCATTGTCAAAATATCATTAATAGTAATAATTCTTGTATAGAAGTACAAATGTCTCGGAATTTCCACATTGACATATTTTTGGATTTGTAACAATAGAAAATCTCTCTTGGGTAGATATAAATACTTTGTAGTTTAACAGTAAAAAGCAGTGAATTGTAGAAATTGTGAAAATATTCCTGCATAGATTTAGTTTCATCATTTAACTGAAATAAATTTATCTCTTTCCTTTTTTCGTTTTATGATCCATGATGAATCGTTCATGAAACATAATTTAAGTGACAATTAAAAGTTGTGTTTGATATGCATTGAAAGTCTTTCCTTAGCCCTCACATGTTCTGAATCACATGGTATGTTTATTCACAGTTGGAAGGAGCTGGCAGTATATACCAAGTTTCTGAGGAAGATGAGTTCACAAACCGCCTTCACTTTGTCAAGTTTGAGACTCGTCTCATTGAGACATGTCTTGACTTCATACAAAGACACCTGAAAGGGTCGCCATTAAAGGACAAGGTCATTAAGGCGACAGGGGGCGGGGCCCATAAATATCGACAACTCATCAACTCAAAGCTGGGGGTACAGTGAGTATAGATATAATACAGAACCATCTACAAGGATTCCTGTTACAGTAAATTCTGGCTAAACTATATCCTTTTTCAGAAATAAAAGGATTTTTACAGTATTTGATAAACAGTTAAAAAATTAAATATAAAAATATAATGTTACAAAATAACAGAAATAAAAGGATCCTAGGACAATGCAATTTAAAAGTTAATGTTTTTATGTTATTTATCTGTGGTCAGGATAGACAAAGAAGATGAGATGCAGTGTTTGATACGGGGCTGTAACTTTCTTCTTCAAAACATCCCTGATGAGGCATTCTCTTATCATCGACATGAGAAACCTGAGTACAGATTCCAAGGAGTGAACCATAATGTCTTCCCCTACCTTTTGGTCAACATAGGGTCAGGGGTCAGCCTGATTAAGGTGAGGTCAACACATGGTCAGGGGTCTCTCTAATGAAAGTGTGGTTGATATAGGGTCAGGGGCCAGTTTAACAAAGGTGAGGTAAACTGATTATTAGGGTCAGTCTGATAAATGTGAGGTCAGCCAAGGGCCAGTGGTCAGTCTGATAAAAGTGAGGTCAGCATAGGGTCAGGGGTCAGTCTGATAAAAGTGAGGTCAGCATAGGGTCAGGGGTCAGTCTGATAAAAGTGAGGTCAGCATAGGGTCAGGGGTCAGTCTGATAAAAGTGAAACTAGTTAGCATCAGTAATAACTAATGGATCAAATTTACTGACTTTGATTCTAGTTCAGTTGCAGAAATAGTTGTGCTTCTTCATTAAGGAACAAATTCAAACTTCTTTAGAAGAAAATAATTTTCTGTTACAGGTGGATTCTGAAACAAAATTTGAGAGGATCGGTGGAACTTCAAATGGAGGAGGGACATTTTGGGGCTTGGGGTCCCTCTTGACCAAAGCCAAGGTAGGAAACCATTAGTTACTGGAAAATTGTGGGGCCATAGGTCCCTCCTGACAAAGGCTAATGTAAAATCTCAGTTAGTTGCTGGGACATTGTGGAACCAGAGGTCCCTCCTGACAAAGGCTAATGTAAAATCCTAGTTACTTTGTGGGACATTGTGGAACCAGCGGTCCCTCCTGACAAAGGCTAATGTAAAATCCTAGTTACTTTGTGGGACATTGTGGAACCAGCAGTCCCTACTGACAAAGGCTAATGTAAAATCCCAGTTAGTTGCTAGGACATTGTGGAACCAGAGGTCCCTCCTGACAAAGGCTAATGTAAAATCCTAGTTACTTTGTGGGACATTGTGGAACCAGAGGTCCCTCCTGACAAAGGCTAATGTAAAATCCTAGTTACTTTGTAGGACATTTGGAACCAGCGGTCCCTCCTGACAAAGGCTAATGTAAAATCCTAGTTGCTTTGTGGGACATTGTAGAACCAGCGGTCCCTCCTGACAAAGGCTATTGAAGGATCCCAGTTAGTTTGCTGGGACATTGTGGAACCAGCGGTCCCTCCTGACAAAGGCTAATGAAGGATCCCAGTTAGTTGCTGGGACAATGTGAAACCTTGAGTCCATGCTGAAAAAGGCCAAAGCAGAATCCCAATTATAAAATGTTTTAAAAAACATGGTTAGAAGCCTGTTCGTCGTTTCGCCATCTTGTCTGGGCTCTATCTCCTACACTACACTGGAATTCATACTTAGAACCTAGGTTAACCTTGGTGAGGCTGTGTGTCTTGTGTCAAATGTAGGTCTCTTTGGCCTTTTTTTGAGAATTTTTTCCTACATCAAAGAAAAAGTTGGTCCAGACTCCTACAATACACTGTCACTTCATACTTGAGGTATGGGTTCACTTAAGAGAAGTGGTTTTTATTATCAGAAGTTGGTGACTCTGACATACATTTTGACCTTTGACCTTCCTACATCAAAGTACATCAAAAAAGAAATTTGTTTTGCCTATAATTTTACATTCATTGAGGAAATATGATTCACCAAATGGTCTTTTATTTATGGAATGAATTTGGAGTTAAAGTGACCATTTGGTTTTTAGTATTAACCACAAAGTAGTTGATGTTTGTCAACAAGTTCAGATTTGACTTATCATCAATTGTATGTTCTGTCACAGACATTTGATGAGTTGCTGGAGTTGGCTGAGAAAGGAGACCATCGAGAGGTGGACATGTTGGTCAAGGATATCTATGGTGGAGAATACTCCTCCATTGGTCTAACGGGGGATGTGATTGCTAGTAGCTTTGGCAAGGCTACACAACCACACAAAGACCAGGGTAGGTCAGACATACAATGTACGTCCGGGTAGGTCAGACATACAATGTAGATCAGGGTATGTTAGAGTCACACAAAGACTAGGGAGGTCAGATATACAATGTAGATCAGGGTAAGTTAGAGTCATACAGAGAACAGGGTAGGTCAGACATACAATGTAGATCAGGGTAAGTTAGAGTCATACAGAGAACAGGGTAGGTCAGACATACAATGTAGATCAGGGTAGGTCAAACATACAATGTAGATCAATGTAGGTCAGACATTCAATATTCGTCGGGTACGTTAGAGTCATACAGAGACCAGGGTAGGTCAGACATACAATATACATCAGGGTACGTTAGAGTCATACAAAGACTATGATGGGTTGGCACAGTCACACAGAGACCAGGGTAGGTTACGGTCACATTTAGGCACACAAATACTGGGGTAAGTCACATTTACTCACAGACCATTGTAATGGTCACACAGAGACCAGGATAGGTCACAGGCACTCAAAAAACATTCGAAGGTCACAGTCACACAAAGTCCATGGTAGGTGAAAGTTACATGAAGACAGGGGTAGGTCACAGATTATGGTACCTTGTTTACCTTTTTTCTCTTTAAACCTTGAAAAGGTCTGTTTTAGCTACACTTAGTGAATATTCTTCCTTAACATTTAGATATAATTGTGATGTGAAAATTCAACACTTTTTTCTTTTGTAACACATTTTACTGTATATGCTGTATCTGCTGTACAAAATACCCCTGATGTTAATTTTGATACTAACAACTGTCTTTGACTTAGTCGTAGGTTAATTGAAATCAAACCAACCAATACATTTTACAGAATCATCCTTCAGGGAGGAAGATATAGCACGGTCACTGCTGCTGTCCATTAGTAATGACATCGGACAGATTGCTTGTCTTCATGCTCGGATGCATGGACTGACCAAGATCTACTTCGGAGGCTATTTCATTCGAGGTCATCCCTTAACCATGCGTACTATCACCTTTTCCATCAACTTCTGGTCAAAGGTCAGTTATACAGTCATATATAACGATGGAGCCTCTCTAATTTGATATAATCAATGTTATGTATGATATTGAAATCACGGTAAAAGGACAAATACAGCGTTTTGCTATGTTATGAGAGATAAGTATTCTCTTTAATATGCTGGGACCAGCTGTTATATCAGAAAATGAAGTTGTTCTGAGTTGATAAATACATTTTACTTCAATGCTTCGGATTGTCTTCACTAATTTATCTAAATGACATCAGTTTTGACCTTCAAATAAATTTTTGAAGGCGGATTTTCACTGATACATATATTTTTGGTGAAATTGACAATAAACTTAAAAGTTGAAAATGTTTTAGAGAAGTAGCATGTGCTCTGTCTTGTTACAGGACGAGATTCAGCCCCTCTTTCTTCGACACGAGGGCTATCTTGGTGCCATTGGGGCCTTTCTGAGAGGTGCAGAAGAGAGTGATGAGACCGGTTAAGTATATCTTCTCTTGATAAACTTGTTCTGTATTTAAGTCCATTTACAATTTCCTGCTGTGGTAATTGTATAGATGTACAACACTATTTGTGTTTCCTGATGAATTTACCATGAACATATTGTGATCATTACGAGGGTAAACAGTGTGTACTGAAGTTACTTACATGTCAACAGCTTCTCACTAGAGAGTAAACAGTGTGTACTGAAGTTACTTACATGTCAACAGCTTCTCACTAGAGAGTAAACAGTGTGTACTGAAGTTACTTACATGTCAACAGCTTCTCACTAGAGAGTAAACAGTGTGTACTGAAGTTACTTACATGTCAACAGCTTCTCACTAGAGAGTAAACATTGTGTACTGAAGTTACTTACATGTCAACAGCTTCTCACTAGAGGGTAAACAGTGTGTACTGAAGTTACTTACATGTCAACAGCTTCTCACTAGAGAGTAAACAGTGTGTACTGAAGTTACTTACATGTCAACAGCTTCTCACTAGAGGGTAAATAGTGTGTACTGAAGTTACTTACATGTCAACAGCTTCTCACTAGAGGGTAAACATTGTGTACTGAAGTTACTTACATGTCAACAGCTTCTCACTAGAGAGTAAACATGTGTACTGAAGTTACTTACATGTCAACAGCTTCTCACTAGAGGGTAAACATTGTGTACTGAAGTTACTTACATGTCAACAGCTTCTCACTAGAGAGTAAACAGTGTGTACTGAAGTTACTTACATGTCAACAGCTTCTCACTAGAGGGTAAACAGTGTGTACTGAAGTTACTTACATGTCAACAGCTTCTCACTAGAGAGTAAACAGTGTGTACTGAAGTTACTTACATGTCAACAGCTTCTCACTAGAGGGTAAATAGTGTGTACTGAAGTTACTTACATGTCAACAGCTTCTCACTAGAGGGTAAACATTGTGTACTGAAGTTACTTACATGTCAACAGCTTCTCACTAGAGAGTAAACATTGTGTACTGAAGTTACTTACATGTCAACAGCTTCTCACTAGAGGGTAAACATTGTGTACTGAAGTTACTTACATGTCAACAGCTTCTCACTAGAGAGTAAACAGTGTGTACTGAAGTTACTTACATGTCAACAGCTTCTCACTAGAGGGTAAACAGTGTGTACTGAAGTTACTTACATGTCAACAGCTTCTCACTAGAGAGTAAACAGTGTGTACTGAAGTTACTTACATGTCAACAGCTTCTCACTAGAGAGTAAACAGTGTGTACTGAAGTTACTTACATGTCAACAGCTTCTCACTAGAGAGTAAACAGTGTGTACTGAAGTTACTTACATGTCAACAGCTTCTCACTAGAGGGTAAACATTGTGTACTGAAGTTACTTACATGTCAACAGCTTCTCACTAGAGAGTAAACAGTGTGTACTGAAGTTACTTACATGTCAACAGCTTCTCACTAGAGGGTAAACATTGTGTACTGAAGTTACTTACATGTCAACAGCTTCTCACTAGAGGGTAAACATTGTGTACTGAAGTTACTTACATGTCAACAGCTTCTCACTAGAGAGTAAACATTGTGTACTGAAGTTACTTACATGTCAACAGCTTCTCACTAGAGAGTAAACAGTGTGTACTGAAGTTACTTACATGTCAACAGCTTCTCACTAGAGAGTAAACAGTGTGTACTGAAGTTACTTACATGTCAACAGCTTCTCACTAGAGGGTAAACAGTGTGTACTGAAGTTACTTACATGTCAACAGCTTCTCACTAGAGGGTAAACAGTGTGTACTGAAGTTACTTACATGTCAACAGCTTCTCACTAGAGGGTAAACAGTGTGTACTGAAGTTACTTACATGTCAACAGCTTCTCACTAGAGGGTAAACAGTGTGTACTGAAGTAATTTTGTTTTAACAATGTATAATTAAGTTATAACATGATTTGATCCCTGATGTATATGTATTTAGCCAATAAAAAATCTGTGTGTACTGCTAAGTCAAAATCAATTTTATTTCAGTGAGCAGAATTTACACTGTGTGGAATTTTTGTCAGATGAATATCACATGAAACAATATATATATTCAGTGGAGTTGACTGGCTGGATATTGGTGTCTATGAAGATGTTATTTCATAACTGATAGTTGCTACAGTGATGTCTTGTTACATGATGTGATATCATGTTTCTTGTTGCTGTACATCTGCTCAGGGCTTGTGAGATAATAAGAGAGTTTTAATGTTTGTAGGGAGCCAGTCGTATACCTGGGGTGAGAATTACGCCCGCAGTTCTGGCCTCAGTAGTGCTCAGCAGTCCTCGGTCAACTGGAAACGCACCAGGAGCTCCACGGTAGGTACAGAGAAGTGACAAGTTACGTCTTTATAAATGTATCACTTTACATTGAAATGTAAAGCACACTCTGGACTGAAGAACAATAAAATTAATTAAAAGCAAGACATAACAACAATATAACAAACCATGCAGTATTCCAGGCAGCTGTCAAGGTGTGATGAGAATGATTAGAGTGTTCCTGAGATAGCTGTCGAGATGTGATGAGAATGATTAGAGTGTTCCTGAGATAGCTGTCGAGGTGTGATGAGAATGATTAGAGTGTTCCTGAGATAGCTGTCGAGGTGTGATGAGAATGATTAGAGTGTTCCTGAGATAGCTGTTGAGGTGTGATATGTTACAAGTAACAAGTGAGAATGATTATAGTGTTCTGAGATAGCTGTTGAGGTGTGATATGTTACAAGTAACAAGTGAGAATGATTAGAGTGTTCCTGAGATAGCTGTTGAGGTGTGATATGTTACAAGTGACAAGTGAGAATGATTAGAGTGTTCCTGAGATAGCTGTTGAGGTGTGATATGTTACAAGTGACAAGTGAGAATGATTAGAGTGTTCATGAGATAGCTGTTGAGGTGTGATATGTTACAAGTGACAAGTGAGAATGATTATAGTGTTCTGAGATAGCTGTTGAGGTGTGATATGTTACAAGTGACAAGTGAGAATGATTAGAGTGTTCCTGAGATAGCTGTTGAGGTGTGATATGTTACAAGTGACAAGTGAGAATGATTAGAGTGTTCCTGAGATAGCTGTTGAGGTGTGATATGTTACAAGTAACAAGTGAGAATAATTATAGTGTTCCTGAAAAATTAGTATAGGTACATTGTTGATGGAAATCTGTGATAAATTAAATGTTTAAACCTCTCATTATGGATCGTAAAGCTTGTTGATTCCCTGTTAGCACCAGAAAGGAGTCACAGTCTGATAAAAACACTTTGTGGTTGTTTATGTCTTTAGTAACATAATTAGAATGGTAAATTCCATAACTCTTAAACACCATCGAGTTCATGTTTATGTCAGCTGCCACAGTCTCTACATCCGGATAAACACATTTATCTAGAGGCCCATTAAAGGGTAACTTATATGCTAGCTTTGTTGTTGTTAGTATAAGATTTATGTTTGATGGTTTGGAAAATGTAGGGTTGTCTTCCTTGTAATATATATGTTGTATCTGCAAAAGGAAGTCATTGTTGATTGTATGCTTGTCATATTTACCGGAAATAAATGACATTTCAGAGTGAACTAAATCATATCATACATATATTACATTTTTATTTTATTCTATTTAAGGATAAATACATGCTGATTAAAATAATGGTGTAAACGATGTATGTGGAAAGAGAGCTCTCCTGTGTGAGGAGATGTTAAATTGCTACGTCTTTGTCTTTGTCAATAAAATGTTTCTTGATGAAATGTAATGAAATCTGATCACTTTTTTTCATGTTGATCAGTTTTTTTCTTTCTTTCTCTTTCTGTGCTTCTGTTGTGTACTACCATAGCAACAATATATAAACATAGGGAAACGTTAGAGTGTCAGGAAGAAGGGATTTCATATCAACCTTTGTATCTCCCTTATGTGCACAGGTACATCTTGAAAATATTGGAACTCTGCCAGATGAGAAAAAATCTGATCACATATTAGGATTTATAATTAATGTGAAATACTGGTATTTGGTCGAATGTTTTAATCCACTAACACAAAAGTTTGACTAAATATCCCTTTTGAAAATGATATTTACAGGTGACAGTGTTTGTAGTATTGTACCTATTAAGTCTTAGTGGACACACCTCCCCTGACCCTGTTTAGTTAAATAGTCAATACGTAGATGGAATGAAGATGATTACAATATTGACATTCCTTTCAGTTTGATATGCTGGAGTTGGACAAGGTGAATGCTCGTGACCATTGTCCAGTGCTGTTAGATCCAGACACTTACAGTCCAGACATGGTTGACCTTACCAAGGATACAGACGCTCGAGAGTACTGGCTGGATTGCTTTTCAAATACTGTAGACAAGGTAATAAGGACTTTCACCTCAATATTTAAGGTTAAAATAAGTGTAAAAAAATATTATTATTTGATCCTGTCTTGACTGCAACTTTGAACTGTGATTGCAATTTTGATGAAACTTGCATTGTGGATAAAGGATATTTAGTTGACTGAAATCAAAGGATAATTCAACAGAAAATAAAGCTATAGTCCCAATCAATAGCTTTTACATAGTACTTCTGTAGTGTGGTTGTAACATAACCGTAGTGTCACCGTAACACTTCCTTTAAAATGAAACAGCAGAGATGTTTAGGTCTCAACAGTAATGTACCAGGTATTATAAAGAGTGGACTTATTTCAGACAGAAGGTCTTGAATATGTCAGGTTTTAGTAAGTAATTAACTTTAGGAAATCAATGTGTTTTACTGATTAAGATATAAGATAATGTAGTCGAGTTGACCTATTACCAGAGTTTAAGATATGATATGAGGTTCAGGGTTGACTTGTTTCACTGATTAACATATAAGATGTGAGATGTTGACATGTTTCAGACAAAGAATCTTGCCATTAAGAGTCAGTCAGGCTCCCCTGATGTTGAAGAGCGGGCAAATAAATTCAAGGACAGTTACCTAGAACGTCTGAATGGGCTCAAAGAAAATCCATGGTATTGTGACCTGTTCTAAGTAGATGTATCAGTTGTCAGTGTAACGCCTGTATATATATGTATGGCAGTATATGATGTAACAGTAGTGTAACACCTGTATATATATGTATGGCAGTATATGATGTATCAGTAGTCAGTGTAACGCCTGTATATATATGTATGGCAGTATATGATGTAACAGTAGTGTAACACCTGTATATATATGTATGACAGTATATGATGTATCAGTAGTCAGTGTAACACCTGTATATATATATGTATGGCAGTATATGATGTAACAGTAGTGTAACACCTGTATATATATGTATGACAGTATCTGATGTAACAGTAGTGTAGCACCTGTATATATATGTATGACAGTATATGATGTAACAGTAGTGAAACACCTGTATATATATGTATGGCAGTATATGATGTAACAGTAGTGTAGCACCTGTATATATATGTATGACAGTATCTGATGTAACAGTAGTGTAGCACCTGTATATATATGTATGACAGTATATGATGTAACAGTAGTGTAACACCTGTATATATATGTATGGCAGTATCTGATGTAACAGTAGTGTAGCACCTGTATATATATGTATGACAGTATATGATGTAACAGTAGTGAAACACCTGTATATATATGTATGACAGTATATGATGTAACAGTAGTGAAACACCTGTATATATATGTATGGCAGTATATGATGTAACAGTAGTGTAGCACCTGTATATATATGTATGACAGTATCTGATGTAACAGTAGTGTAGCACCTGTATATATATGTATGACAGTATCTGATGTAACAGTAGTGTAGCACCTGTATATATATGTATGACAGTATATGATGTAACAGTAGTCAGTAAAACACCTGTATATATATATATATGGCAGTATAAACAAATTTTAGTTGCACAATTATGTCTCCCACATATTAGTATGGAGACATGTTTGTTATGCTTCTTGAAAATGTTTTGGGGGAGCATATATTTCCCTCTTTGTCAGTCCATCCATCCACCCGTCCCCCCACTCTTTATGGATATATTGGTCATACTAAGACAATGTACAGTGTATCAGTTTGGGGAGCCACAAAATCCTTAATTACAGAATCATATACTTATTATTCTTTGTTAAAATTCAGCATAACTTAATACCTGCATTTTATACGCCAAACAAAATTTTGCATGGAATATGCTTGTATTTCTACGCACTGCTGTGCTCTTGTTATTAGGATAATGTAATTAGTGTAAAAAATGATGATACTAAAACAGAGTGCAGTGTACCAAAACCAGGGCCTGTAACCCTTTAGATACAGAGTTATTGCCCTTTGTTGTATGGGTTAGTCTTTGGGTCAAAGTTCGAGTCATATACATGTTATCAGCATGACACTAGTCACACTTTAGTTTCTGTGCAATATCTTCTGTTCACATAGTCTTTTCTTGGTCATATAAAGTAAACAGGTTGTGTATGGAAAAGAGTTGCATTGGATTGTGTTTTAGGTCAAAGTTCATGTGACCTATTACTGAAAATAGAATCCAGAGTCATGCTGTAGTTTCCATACATTACCAAGAACTTGTGTTCCTTTTGTCTTGTTCCCTTTCTCACAAATCTAAAAATATGTTTTTGATTTTATCAGTGCATATGGATCTCTGACAGTGAGGTTTTTACTGGACACAAGTAGTCATCTATTAAGAGACTATCTCTTCACCGACCCCTACTCACAGGTAAGTGTCAAAGGTCACAGACCACCTGTCAGAAGGGCTTCAGAAACTAATGTCTAAATCAAGGATTTGTTTTTCTCAAAGTTATGAAATATTGTGTTTTTATGGAATGAGTAGATAAGCATTGTTTGTTAGGCATCCCTAATAGTGGTTTGAAGATTTTACAAGAAGCTTGATCACAAGAAAAGGTTGGTGAAGTTGATTAAAAACGTTTGGAAAATTCTGTCACTTTGGCATGGCACTTTTGTCTTTTACTTCAAATAGCAAAAACAGACAGAAAATGAACATGCCTTGCGGAGTCTTCCAGCCCGTCTTAAGTCCCTTGACAGTATGGATGAAAGTGACCGCCTTCTTAGCCTGGCCAGAGGTCTCCTGGCTGGTAATGTGTTTGACTGGGGAGCTAAAGAGGTGGTTAAAATGATGGAATCTGGCCAGGACTTTGGCTTCAACGAAGCACTAGATAAAGTTGAAGGTATAGATGCTTAGTGATGATTTATCTTACAATTTTAAGCACAGGAAATGATAATGAGCAAGACATACATTATAGAAGTATACACACACTTTTAAAGCTTCCGAGTTCAAGTTTTTTTGTTTTTTTTTTAAATCATGGTCACTGTAATATGAGGAATTCTCATCAAACTTCATACACTGATTAAGCATCAAATTGTAAGCACTTTAGTGACTTCATCCTGTTTGATTAAACCACCATTTGCAAATGACCATAATGCATTATTACACATTGTTGATTAAACTGTGTTGTCATCTTGTCATAATTATCTATTGTTTCATTGCTTCATTCAAATCAGTGACTAATTGTGTATTTTTGCTTTTTTCCAAACTAACATCAAACAGCACCATCTTTATAAATCTTATAACTTGTGGAGGCTCATAGTCATAGTAAGGTCTTTCTTTAGCAATACTCACTATGCGTGTCTTAATGAGACTGTAAACATCCAGTTGATTGTTTGTGATGACAGAATGATTCATTCCTGGCTATGTGATTACTTTATAATTTCATTTTAGCTCGTCCCTAGCTATGCAATTACTTTATAATCTTATTTTAGCCCGCCCCTGGCTATGTGATTACTTTATATTATTATTTTAGCCTGCCCCTAGCTATGTGATTATTTTATAATGTTATTTTAGCCGGCCCCTGGCTATGCAATTACTTTATAATTTTATTTTAGCCCGCCCCTGGCTGTGTGATTACTTTGATGCCTGGATGGAGAGGCTTAACAATGCCCCCCCTCATCAATGTGCAGTTGTATTCTGTGACAACAGCGGTGCTGATATTATATTAGGGTTACTTCCCTTTGTTCGTGATCTTCTCACCAGGGGAACCAAAGTAAGGTTCTTTGATATGATTGAACTTTTGATGATTTGATTAACCAAACTTTTGAAATCAAGCGATCATGATTCTAAATTCAAAAGACACTTTCAATGATACTTTGTGTAAAGGCAAGATATATATATACTTTTGAGAAAATAAGTCTTATTTTAAGTAATTACAATTGTTGAAGTTCCTGATATGGAAAAAAAATTGTTTTCCCCTAAAAATTCTCACCAATGTCACTTATTCACTTTTGAATTAATCTGTTGATACCAATTTTCAAATTGTGCTAGAAAAAAACTTAAATTTTGACATTAACAATGTTTAAGGAGTTTAAATGGTACATTTTATAGGTGATACTGTGTGCAAATTCCCGTCCTACTTTAAATGATGTCACATATAACGAACTTACGATTCTTGTGAAAAGAGTGTCGGAAATATGCCCAATCATTGACAACGCTCTAAAGGAACATCGGCTGATGCCAATGGAGTCAGGACAGGAATCCCCATGTCTTGATCTAAGGTAGGTAACTCTGTCAGACCTGATCCTGATGCTGTAGTGGGATAGAGGTTTCATTGGAAGGTACAGATGTACCTTAAGTGTCCTTGTGTTTATTATACACAATTTATTATTCAACATGTTATCATTATGTGTTCTCACTGTTAATGAGTTGACTCCAGTAACTTTAAGTGACTTCAAGTACAGAATGGTGGCGGCAATGATATATATCACTTCTAAGGAAACAAAACTCTTCATGTTCAGAAAATAGTTATACATTACATTTAAATTGGTATTTCTAAATATTAATCACAAGATAATGGGTTAAATCAGGGTTAATCAAGCAATATTTTTAATTTAACAATATTAGTTATAGTTAATGAGCAATATTTTTAATTTAACAATATTAGTTATAGTTAATGAGCAATATTTTTAATGTATTGATATTAATTATGAGAGAATGAGTTAAATCAGAGTTAATGAGCAATATTTTTAATGTAATGATATTAATTATGAGATAATGAGTTAAATCACAAAAGTGAATTGCCATAAATCAAATCAAGGACAGTTAACATTGTTTGTTGTATAATATAGTCTGTTTTACAAATGTTCATTTCTGCACACTCAATATTAGAAGCTGTAAAACCTTGTTTACAGCAGATCATGGGAACTCTTTGATGTGTACTATTATGAACGTAGTTCATTAAATGGACTTTTACTATTCCAGGTTGGTTGACCAGTCCCTAGTGAAGGCTATGGTACGTGAGAAGACTGATTTGGTTGTGATTGAAGGAATGGGCAGAGCAGTACACACTAACTTTGATGCCAAATTCTCTTGTGAGTCACTAAAAGTGGCTATTCTCAAAAACAAATGGCTGGCCAATAGATTTGGTGGAGAAATGTTCAGTGTGATATTTAAATATGAAAATCCTTCAAAAGAGAGTTGATGCTTGCCATCAAACAGTAATATATAGTTAAACAGGATTGACTTAGCTACATGGACTATATAAACATCAGTACGTTTAATTGGATATACCTTACAACTGGTAGATATGATAAGTAGGTGAGTTATACAGAGAGGAGGGACATAGTTAATATTTAAGTGATTAAATGATTTGACTTTGATCTTGGATTGATACCAGATTTAATCTGAGGTAAATCAATGACTGAATCATTCCTATATTCCCAAAGTTAATGACTTGATATTGGAGTGAGCCAGTTTTAGAGTATTAGTGTGAAGTCATAGTTTTGATGTACCATTGCTGATTCAGCCAGTGTTAATATCTTCATATATCATACATGGTAACCTGTTGAGAAAAAATAGTGGTGTTGCTGGAAAAGTAAAACTAGATATGTTGGAACAGGTTTGATAAGTAAACCTGAACTAGTATTTATTAATTGTTCCGCTTCATTAGACTCATGTCAATATTATACTTATTTCGGGTCTGTCTAAAGGTCACCAGTTCAGTTCAACTCACAGAGCCTTATCAGGGTCTACCAATCACTCTGATAACTGTGATAAAATTAGATTTCACTGATTTAATACTGTTGAACAGCAGAATAATATTACAGAACTGTGTGTATCCCTGTAGTAACAGATCTGTGTGTATCCCAGTGGTTACAGACTTGTGTGTATCCCAGTGGTAACAGAATTGTGTGTATCCCTGTAGTAACAGACCTGTGTGTATCCCAGTGGTTACAGACTTGTGTGTATCCCAGTGGTAACAGAATTGTGTGTATCCCTGTGATAACAGACCTGAGTGTATCCCTGTAGTTACAGACCTGTGTGTATCTCTGGGTACAGACCTGTGTGTATCCCAGTGGTTACAGACCTGTGTGTATCCCAGTGGTAACAGAACTGTGTGTATCCCTGTGGTAACAGAACTGTGTGTATCCCTGTGATAACAGAACTGTGTATCCCTGTGGTTACAGACCTGTGTGTATCCCAGTGGTAACAGAACTGTGTGTATCCCTGTGGTAACAGAACTGTGTGTATCCCTGTGATAACAGAACTGTGTGTATCCCTGTGGTTACAGACCTGTGTGTATCCCTGTGATAACAGAACTGTGTGTATCCCTGTGGTTACAGACCTGTGTGTGTGATAACAGAACTGTGTGTATCCCTGTGGTTACAGACCTGTGTGTATCTCTGTGGTTACAGACCTATGTGTATCTCTGTGGTTACAGACCTGTGTGTATCTCTGTTGGTACAGACCTGTGTGTATCCCTGTAATTACAGACCTGTGTGTATCTCTGTTGGTACAGACCTGTGTGTATCCCAGTGGTTACAGACCTGTGTGTATCCCTGTAATTACAGACCTATGTGTATCTCTGTTGGTACAGACCTGTGTGTATCCCAGTGGTTACAGACCTGTGTATATACCTTTAATTACAGACCTGTGTGTATCTCTGTTGGTACAGACCTGTGTGTATCCCAGTGGTTACAGACTTGTGTGTATCTCTGTGAAACTTTTAGGAATCTTGAACACAAAGGTTTTGATGTTCGTCTCATTACTGAGAGATGAAATAGGTTCTCAAAATGTGGATTAGTCATACAATGTGGGACTTCCCATCTCTGAGTGATTACTATCTATGTTTACCTAGGTGTTTTCCCTAACTATGATATGTAGCTTTAGTTTCTAGTTGATTTAAGCCCCTTGATTAACTATATTTTCATAATACCTTCAGGAGTAAGTATATGATGTAACAGTATTGTATCTGTGATGAATGATTTGACAATTTTATTGTGTGAATGGATTAACCTAGACACAACTATGTACTGACACAAATTAGATTTTATTATGTGAATGGATTAACCTAGACACAACTATGTACTGACACAAATTAGATTTTATTATGTGAATTTGTAAATCTTCTACCAAAATGTGATCAATTTTGTAAGTAGAGAAATTTTGTAATACTCAGTGATACTTAACTTTGGACACTGTGTAACATACAGAATTGTACAAAGTGATACTTAACTTTGGACACTGTGTAACATACAGAATTGTACAAAGTGATACTTAACTTTGGACACTGTGTAACATACAGAATTGTACAAAGTGGTATAACTTTGGACACTGTGTAACATAATGTGGGACTTCCCATCTCAGAATTGTACAAAGTGGTAATTAACTTTGGACACTGTGTAACATACAGAATTGTACAAAGTGATACTTAACTTTGGACACTGTGTAACATACAGAATTGTACAAAGTGATACTTAACTTTGGACACTGTGTAACATACAGAATTGTACAAAGTGATATTTAACTTTGGACACTGTGTAACATACATACAGAATTGTACAACAGAATTGTACAAAGTGATACCTAACTTTGGACACTGTGTAACATACAGAATTGTACAAAGTGATACCTAACTTTGGACACTGTGTAACATACAGAATTGTACAAAGTGATACCTAACTTTGGACACTGTGTAACATACAGAATTGTGTGTAACATACAGAATTGTACAAAGTGATATTTAACTTTGGACACTGTGTAACATACAGAATTGTACTCAGTGATATTTAACTTTGGACACTGTGTAACATACAGAATTGTACAAAGTGATACTTAACTTTGGACACTGTGTAACATACAGAATTGTTCAAAGTGATACTTAACTTTGGACACTGTGTAACATACAGAATTGTACAAAGTGATACCTAACTTTGGACACTGTGTAACATACAGAATTGTACAAAGTGATACTTAACTTTGGACACTGTGTAACATACAGAATTGTACAAAGTGATATTTAACTTTGGACACTGTGTAACATACAGAATTGTACCATGTAGATCTTGTTATAAGTTTATAGAATGCTCATAGCTTTTGTGTCTTTATCATAAGGCCTCAACCTCTGGGTCGCAAGTTCGAGACCTACGGGGGGCAGTCACCAGGTACTGCACATAGGTCGATGGTCTTTATCACTAGGCCTCAACCTCTGGGTCGCGAGTTCGAGACCTACGGGGGGCAGTCACCAGGTACTGCACATAGGTCGATGGTCTTTCTCCGGGAACCCTGACTTTCTCCACCATTCAAACCTAGCATGTCCTTATATGGTCTTGGCTGTTAATAGGATGTAAAGCAATAAACCAAACATAAATAGATATTCTTAACTAAGAACATAATTTCTTACTTGTCATGTTTTGCTCAACAGGAAATGCAGTCACAAAATTTTATGCCATAGAGACAAATTCTATCTTGGAGATTGTCAAAACTTTTATCTGCTTATCAAATGCTCAAAGAAATGGAAAATTTCTCTGTAAATATGAACTTGATACTGCTTATGATGACATCTCTCATTTTCCATGTTGATCGACAAAGATTTTGTTCTTATGTCAAGAAAGAAACAAAAACTATTTTTATTATCCATAAATATTTTTTTATTTCTCTTTGTACAGGGATTTTTTTCATCCCATCTCACTTTTGTTGCTGATATGAATACTTACACACATTGTGTGAGTTCTGTGTTTGCTAACATCCACGCTACCAACATTTAATCTGTGCTCTTTGTTATAGAGTGTAAGGGACAAAATGGTGACTCCTGGTTATTATATATAGTAGAATAGATGGATTGTCTTGATGATGTTTCAGTTGATAGATGCTGTTATGCCTCAACTCTAGTGGTTAATGATATTATATACATACCATGAAGTGACGTTTGGCCTTCTGCATTATCTCCAGCACTTTTGTTGTGTTTGGTAATACCATGCCCTTTGTTGTTAATTCTCCTTGTTTTCTGTTAAAAAACAATGCCCTGGTTGGTTTGCTTTGTACAGGTATACAAGTTTACTACGCTGTGTTTTCATCACCAATAACAATGAGTATTATGAATCAGTAGAAAGCACTAGAAACAAAAGGCAAAATTGGCTTGTACCGTTTAAGAATTATATTCATATGGAGTATATGCATGTAATGTAAATTAATTAACAAAGGTTGATATAAGTAGTATATGATATAAATTGAGAAAACCTTATTTATTTCTAATTTGGACTATGAATTAATTGTTAAAGATTATTTGAAATGTTAACACGTGATATTTGGTATAATACTGAGATTTCACTACCATCAATTGTTACATATGCTATGTCTTTTATTGCAGATATTAATTTTGGAAAGTTACACAAAAGTCAAAAGTCCAAACATCAAGGTCAGTTCGTCAAAAGGGAAAAGAAAATTTTGTAATTAAACAAGTGGTTAACTGACCAAAGAACAAGGTCACCAGTCTATTTTATGGCATCTTAAAGCAAAGGTGGTCCAAATACAGACACTTCTGTTAGTCTAGCAAGTGTAGGAAGGTGGAGAAAGAAAACTAGACTCGCATCATAGTACATTGTACATGGACAATGTTAACATTTAAATATGTATACAGTGTTGATTTAGAGGTTCTGTCTTTATTTATTTATTGTCAAATAACTATTCCTTTGATCTAATTTCTTTACAATTCCTGTTTTTTATCATGATAAATTGTTATTATCTTTTGTCACTGGGAAACCACTTATTATTCACATGACTTGGTTAGAGCTGTTACATCTCAAACACTGCCTATTGTCTTCTATTAATTGTGTTCATTACCTTATTATTTATGTATGAAATAATATTTTTGGTGATTAAATATTGAATAATTTATCAATGAAATATTTTCCTCCCCACCGAATCTTGTTTACTTATGTGTCACGTTTATTATATAACTTGGTGCAGAGATGTCCACCATTCTTATGTAATTAACTTTATAATATTTTATATTTGAAAAAATAAAGTATTTCATGATAAACAGGAAAACTCAACTTAAGTGCTTTTGATTGTCATTTTGATGAAAGAAAATTCAACATTGTTCCGTGTCAACGATGTGGGTAAAACATGCTGAAATGGATTCACTTTCTATAAGGGTTAATCCACATGGTCCTACTTCCAAAAGTAATCATTTCTTTAACTCCAAATTGAAGGTCTACCAAGTTTGTTCAAATAAATGACATTGACCCACTTTCAAGGTCACAGGGGTTAAATATATTTAAATCTTCAAATGCCTTCTCTATTATATATGGAACCAGGTACTGATATCTGGTCAATAAGTATGCTGGACTAAAGGGCCATTAAATTTGATTAAATAAATACTTTTGATTGACCTTTGCTTACTTTCATGATCACAAGGGTCAAAATGTTACAATGTTGAGACGACTTCTCAATAACTGAAAGGTCCAGGGTACTGATGTAAGGCCAGTTTTATAAAGGCTACCAAGTTTGTTCCAATGAATGACCTTGGCCTTTTTGAAGGCAACAGAGGGTAGATTTATTAAAATCTTTAAATGACTTTTCAATAACCAAGTGCCCCATAAAGATGATATTGGGCCAATATAATGCTTCGATGAAGACTTTGAGGTTAAGTTTGTTCAAATGAAGGACATTGACCCACTTGTAAGTCATAGGTGTCAAATGTGTTCATAACTTTTTCTTTTCAACCAATAATAGGTCGTGGGTCATGCTATTGTATTGAAACATGCTTTGGAATAGAACTTAAACTTCGGAACAGATGAGCAAATCGGGCATCTTGAGGCTCTTGTCTGAATTAAACATGATTAACATACTTGTCAACACATGTTGTTAAGGGGGAAGAAGAGAGATGCTGGGGAAAACCCACTGGATAGTTTCCTTTACTGCATCTTTTTGACAATATGCAAAGTTTGGTTGCGAGGTATTCAAGTATATACCTTATGGTGTCTGTGAGAAAACAATGCCCTTCTCTCAGCTGTCTTGTTTATTTTTGTACCATACCGTATTTAATATAGACCTTACAGTATCAGGACTTTGGACCCTACCACCTTCATTTCACTTTTAGATCAACTGGTGTATTTTAAAAAGAAATATTGGCTTTTTGATCGGGTATGAACAAGTATTGCTGGTGTTGTGCACCTCTAATTGATTTTGTTTTTTTTTTCGGAACATTTTCTTCATGTTGGTAATGTCGTTAGGAAATAAGTTATCATAACACAAGCGGTAGAAGATTTGAGTGTGACGTGATTTTGTCTGATGAAGGTGACCGTGTAGTCATTGAAACGTCACATTCAGATCTACTATCTGTGTTCTAACTGACAACTTATCCATAGTATTGTTTCCTCGTCAATAAAATAAGACTTCAAGATTGCAAACAACACAAACTACTGCAAGATTTGAAATTAGATATTCACAGAGTTTCTTAATTTTATGGAAATTACTGATCCCTTACTGCTATGGAGGGAAGGAAACGTTTTGATTGTGTTCCTGCCATTTCATCCCTTTCACTTTACATGTACTTTCATTTCCACTTTTGAATTCTCTACACATACATGTATACAACTGTATTGTGACAGGTAGTTGTATTATAATGATATGCAGGTCAAGCTTTGATTTCGCTATGGTCATTTTTTCACAGTTAAGGCTGTTTTAAGAATTTTAGTTGGAATTGTCACAAAAAGGACTAAAATTAGAGAGGCTTGCTTAACACCAGTGGGATTTTTAACACCTCTAAACAGTGTTAGTAACAGTTTTGTAAAAAAAAAAAAAACCCAAAATTCTTGTGCTTTCCTGTCATTCCAACACATCTGATTTGTTTAAAGTTAAGAAACTAGTTTAACCTTAATCAAGATGATCACCTTATAATGGGCATGGTTTCTGAACATTTTAGAATCTTTATAAAAACGAATAAATAATTAAGGATCCCCATTTTTTTTTCTTCAATACTATCGACTTTGAAATATTTTAACGATTCACTCATATTAAGGGTGAGATTTTGATCAACTTCACTTTCAATGTGATCTGCTGTCCGAAGGCAAACTGTCCAATACTTTTGGGTTTCTCTCAACATGATAAGGTTTTTGAGACTTAAATGGAATAATTTGGCTTGGATGTCTGTTTCACTGTGACTTGTGTTGGTGTATATTGTTAACATAAGGAGGGTATGTTGTCTGATGTCTCATTTACATACAGGACCCAGGTGTGTGATGTGTACATACAGGTTTGTGTTACTGATGTATGTGATTTTATGAAATAAATAAAATAGATTCTGAAG